TTAAAACAGCAAATACGAAGCCTTCTGTCATGTTATAAAATTGTAGATTATGCTAGCTTTAGTGTACCTATAATCTTAATTTTATTAATGACAGGAGGCGAGTATTTCCCACCCATTCTTATCCCTCCCTTGTTTAATTTTATAGTTTGGATTTATCAGGTACGTATACAACTCTGCTTGTTGTTTCTGCTACCTGTCACCTGTCCTTATGTCTGTTTTTCATAAGTAAGGTTGGGATTTCTACATATTAAGGTAATTTTGTTTGCTACATTGGGTATCTACAAGTTTATTCAAAATACATTTAATTGGATAATCAACCTGTTCGATTCTGTTTTTCTCTCGTTTCAGTTTCCAGTCCTTCAACACTATCTGGCGTGGCGCTTGTTCGTGGATGGTGGGCATTGACTTATTTTCAGTCCATCAACGCTATCCGGTTGACAGTTCTTCTCAGACGTTGGACATTGCTGTATTCATCGTATCTGGCCTTCGTTGCTTCCTATTATTTTTTCTGCCTTTGTTCTGTTTTGTCGCAGCTTGAAAGAGGAAATGATGCAATGGGAAGGGGGTTTTATAGTACCTAACTTTTTTCTGATTGGTTGTTTTTCTGTGCTGCTGTGGAGTTCTAGTAAAGAGAGACTAAAGCAAATACTCGCCTCCTATCATTAATAAAATTAAGATTATAGGTACACTAAAGCTAGCATAATCTACAATTTGCTAGCACTATATTTAAAGGACCACTATAGTGTCAGGAAAACATACTCGTTTTCCTGGCACTATAATGCCCTGAGGGTGCCCCCAGGGCACTATAGTTTCCAGGGGTAATTCTCATTCCTGGGCTATGATACAGTCTCAAAGGCAACATAACCAGTCTGGCAAATTTCAATGTGAATAAACTGAAAAATGAAATATGCTATATTTGACCCTGTAACTTTCCAAAACATCATGAAACCTGTACATGGGGTGTACTATGGTACTCGTGAGACTTCGCTGAATAAGAATATGTGCATTTTATTGCAGTAACAGCTAGCAGTATTATGACATACACAGTTAAAATGCCACACACAGACAAATTTAAAAATCTTAATGTCTCACACTTTTTTAAAGTCTTTATTCATAATGAATTATGTTTCATATATGAATAGTTCATGTGAAATGAAAGCCCAGCTTCTCCTGAACAAAATTATATATAATAAGTGTGGGTGCACTTAATATAAAAAAGGTGATTTATGGTTGAACAGACATATAGCGCAAATTCCAGTTTTTGTTTTACGTTTTGTTTTGATCACAACGTGTACAACTGGCTCAGTCCTTAACCCCTTCAGGACAGAGCTTCAGAAGCTTGTCTTTCACTTAATGACAACAGCATTTTTTTCATTTTTTGCTGTTTGCGTTCAACTGCAATTTGCATTTTACTAATTTATTGCACCGACACATATTTTATATCGTTTTTTTAAAGGACAGAAAGGGCTTTAATTTGATGTAACACACACACACACACACACACACACACACACATATATATATATATATATATAAAAGCTTAATTATTATAAAAAAATATAGAAAAATGCAAACAAAAAATGGAAATTTTTGTGTTTTTTTTTTGTTTTTGCAATAATAATGTGTGCATAATTAGTGCAGGTTAAATGGACACTATAGTCACCTGAACAACTTTAGCTTAATGAAGTAGTTTTGGTGTATAGAACATGCCCCTGCAGCCTCACTGCTCAATCCTCTGCCATTTAGGAGTTAAATCCCTTTGTTTATGAACCCTAGTCACACCTCCCTGCATGTGACTTGCACAGCCTTCCATAAACACTTCCTGTAAAGAGAGCCCTATTTAGGCTTTTTTATTGCAAGTTCTGTTTAATTAAGATTTTCTTATCCCCTGCTATGTTAACCAGGGGAGGGGTGGCTAGGGCTTCATAAACAGAAACAAAGTGATTTAACTCCTAAATGACAGTGAATTGAGCAGTGAAATTGCAGGGGAATGATCTATACACTAAAACTGCTTTATTTAGCTAAAGAAATTTAGGTGACTATGTTGTAGATAATTTACTGCAAACCAATTAGTTTGAATGACTATCTGTTCCTGTCCAAATTAAGATAATAAAGTTGCGTGCACGCAGAAGTAAATTCACACTGAGACACAGAGTTCAGGTTAATGAAAGAACTTCGGAGAAGTTTAATGGCTTCTGACAGAAAATGGGTGCACAGACCCTTTTAAAGGCATTATTACATCATTGAAGAAAATCAAGATATAGACAAATAGACATTGTTAATTGGCTTAGGTGCTAACATGTTAGTAAAATGCCCTCCCTATGGGGTGTACCATCTTAAGTCACTATCCTCGTCATGATCATCTCCTCCAGGTTTTAGCGCCATTTTGCTAACATGAGGAGCTCACTCGACGGGAGGGGCCTTTTGGCAGCTATCCATTTAGAGTGTAGCTGGCACTGTTAGTTTCTCAAGGTTAGGTTTCAAGGCTTTTAGTAAATACACATTTTATCAAAGCTATTTCTTGCTGACATGCAAATTCTATGTTCTATAGACAAAGCTTTCTTGTAAAACTATGGGGGCCTCTTAGAGGTATAGCAAGAGGATTTAAAGGGGCCTTACAGATTTATAGAGGCCTAATAATTCTACAACAGTCCCCCCTAAAATGTTATTTGCTAAAAGACAAAACTTTATTTGTTAGTATCAGAAGATGTATTAGCCCAAAGACACAGAAACCCCATGACCGCTGACTTAGTGTTAATGCAAAGTGCAAGTCTATCCCTCTCTTGACCCTAACAGGCTGCAGCACATCCGTCAGTACGGTTCAGGAACACTCTTCACTCCGCTGGTAACCCATAGTGGCTTATCCACTACTTCTCCGTACGGCAGTCTACCCATAAAGACGGACGCTGTCCCTGTACTGTCCCTTCCTAGACTTTCTGCACTTCATCAGTATAAGGAAGAGTTTGTAGCGGAATACAGGGTGAGGTGAGATCTTGATCATCGATTGTCAGATGAGTGAAGGTTGGTGTTGCTTGGTCTACAGTTTTCTGCAGGAATTTCCTTAGGCATGGGAGGACACAACAAATGAGAAGAGCGAGAATAAAAAGAAAAATTAGTAAGACAATACCAATCTGGACTAAAGCTCTGCCAACCAGTCATCCAACCAAGAAAAAGAAGAAAAAAGGCTGCGCACACAGATAAAATTGGAAAAAATAAAAAAGTTATTTTTAAATAAAATAAAGTCCAATTAGAAAGAAGGAAAAGTCCAATGTAATTGTCCTTACAGATAGTCTTTGCTGTTGACGTCTTCTACTTTGTAGTGAGTCCACTTATATGAAAGATAAAAAGAGAGAGGGGGACAACCAATAGTGTAGTATGTAGAGTTCTTATATGGATATGTAGAGATAATAATATAAAACTCACATTTATCAGAGCTAATGTCCTAGCTCTGGAATAAAGCGCATACGGCGGTTTGATCCCCGCTTATGGGATATAGATGGGTTCCTCTCTGTGATACGTGTCCAGTTTCTCGAAATAAAAGAGACAGCCAATAGTGCTCACTGTATAGCAATATTGATAAAATAATAAAAGAATGTACTTACAAAACCAGAGCAGACCAACTGCTCCGTGATGACAGCTTGGGTGGATTGATCCCCACCTTGGATTTCTTTAAATGCAGGAAACTTCCAGGGGTTTTCAGGTTTTTTTTTAAAACCAATAAAAATAATAATTAAAAAGCCAGGGTAAAAAGAGTATTATGTGTCTATAAAAAAAGATTATTGGCACAAACAAATGACCAAAAAATACTTTAATATATTTACAAACACAATAATTAAATATCCATAACGCGTTTCGTCTAAGACTTTATCAAATGGAATAACAGATGATACCTGGCTTGTAGGTGTTATATAGGAACATAACTCATTTGAATTTGGCGCCAAAAATTGGTCCGTCCAATCAGAAACAGAATCACATTTAAAACTTAAAATATGTTCAAAACTTAGTCAGTATATAATTTATAGTAATATAACTTGTTTCTAATGGTTAGAAATCAAAAACGAGGGTTGGAAAGTATAATTTAGAACATTTTAAAATAATCACGTGACATACGGCACTTCCGCATTTCGGAAGTTTTCGCCGCAATGCCTTATGGGAAATGTAGTTAAAAGTTAGCCGCGACCGGCGGCCGCATACAGAAGTAAAAAAAAACGATAATCATACATAACCTAAGAAGATTTAGTGCCTTGGAGGCATTTTCATTGTAGAGCATAGATTTTAAGTTATAAATAAAACAGGTAGGCAGGGGGGCACATAACTAATACATTACTTCCTCAAAATGGAGGTTTTTGCCCAAGTGCAACCTGGGAAATGTAGTTATCTTTAAAAATAAATAAATAAAAAATGAAGTATGGAAGTTACAAATTAAAATAAAGGTATACAGAATAAGAACTTAATTTGTAAAATACTGGCAACATTAATACAATAAAAATAGATGTATAAAAAGGGATTGTATACATAAAAAGAATATATAAGCCATTCATATTATAGACAGCAATAAATAATACAAATATTATTTAACATAAAAGTCATAGAAAATTGTGTAGATCAAAGTCAGCATTAAGACCATGGGGTATAAGAGTCTGAAGTTTATACACCCATTCCATCTCGGTTTTTCCAAGCAGTTTTTTTATGTCACCTCCACGCCAAGAGGTAAAGCATTTTTTTATACCAATGCATTTTAATAGGCGTGGGTCCTTATTGTGCATAATAAAATGTTTGGATACTGTATGATTTAAGTATCCATTTTTAATATTTCTGCAATGTTCGCTTAGCCTTATCTTTAAGCACCTTGTGGTCATCCCCACATATTGGAGGCCACATGGGCACTCAAGCAGATAAATAACATTTTTCGTGTTGCAGCATATAAAATCATAAATATTGTACACTTGTTTTGTCTGATTGGACATAAAACTTGAGACTTTTGATGAAATAGAATGATCAGTGGTTTTGCATACAATACATTGTTTACATCTATAAAAACCCTTTGTCTGGGGAAAAAAAGACAGATTTTTGGGAGGAGATTTTTTAGTAAAATCTCCTCCCAAAAATCTGTCTTTTTTTCCCCAGACAAAGGGTTTTTATAGTAAAATCTCCTCCCAAAAATCTGTCTTTTTTTCCCCAGACAAAGGGTTTTTATAGATGTAAACAATGTATTGTATGCAAAACCACTGATCATTCTATTTCATCAAAAGTCTCAAGTTTTATGTCCAATCAGACAAAACAAGTGTACAATATTTATGATTTTATATGCTGCAACACGAAAAATGTTATTTATCTGCTTGAGTGCCCATGTGGCCTCCAATATGTGGGGATGACCACAAGGTGCTTAAAGATAAGGCTAAGCGAACATTGCAGAAATATTAAAAATGGATACTTAAATCATACAGTATCCAAACATTTTATTATGCACAATAAGGACCCACGCCTATTAAAATGCATTGGTATAAAAAAATGCTTTACCTCTTGGCGTGGAGGTGACATAAAAAAACTGCTTGGAAAAACCGAGATGGAATGGGTGTATAAACTTCAGACTCTTATACCCCATGGTCTTAATGCTGACTTTGATCTACACAATTTTCTATGACTTTTATGTTAAATAATATTTGTATTATTTATTGCTGTCTATAATATGAATGGCTTATATATTCTTTTTATGTATACAATCCCTTTTTATACATCTATTTTTATTGTATTAATGTTGCCAGTATTTTACAAATTAAGTTCTTATTCTGTATACCTTTATTTTAATTTGTAACTTCCATACTTCATTTTTTATTTATTTATTTTTAAAGATAACTACATTTCCCAGGTTGCACTTGGGCAAAAACCTCCATTTTGAGGAAGTAATGTATTAGTTATGTGCCCCCCTGCCTACCTGTTTTATTTATAACTTAAAATCTATGCTCTACAATGAAAATGCCTCCAAGGCACTAAATCTTCTTAGGTTATGTATGATTATGGTTTTTTTTTTACTTCTGTATGCGGCCGCCGGTCGCGGCTAACTTTTAACTACATTTCCCATAAGGCATTGCGGCGAAAACCTCCGAAATGCGGAAGTGCCGTATGTCACGTGATTGTTTTAAAATGTTCTAAATTATACTTTTCAACCCTCGTTTTTGATTTCTAACCATTAGAAACAAGTTATATTACTATAAATTATATACTGACTAAGTTTTGAACATATTTTAAGTTTTAAATGTGATTCTGTTTCTGATTGGACGGACCAATTTTTGGCGCCAAATTCAAATGAGTTATGTTCCTATATAACACCTACAAGCCAGGTATCATCTGTTATTCCATTTGATAAAGTCTTAGACGAAACGCGTTATGGATATTTAATTATTGTGTTTGTAAATATATTAAAGTATTTTTTGGTCATTTGTTTGTGCCAATAATCTTTTTTTATAGACACATAATACTCTTTTTACCCTGGCTTTTTAATTATTATTTTTATTGGTTTTAAAAAAAACCTGAAAACCCCTGGAAGTTTCCTGCATTTAAAGAAATCCAAGGTGGGGATCAATCCACCCAAGCTGTCATCACGGAGCAGTTGGTCTGCTCTGGTTTTGTAAGTACATTCTTTTATTATTTTATCAATATTGCTATACAGTGAGCACTATTGGCTGTCTCTTTTATTTCGAGAAACTGGACACGTATCACAGAGAGGAACCCATCTATATCCCATAAGCGGGGATCAAACCGCCGTATGCGCTTTATTCCAGAGCTAGGACATTAGCTCTGATAAATGTGAGTTTTATATTATTATCTCTACATATCCATATAAGAACTCTACATACTACACTATTGGTTGTCCCCCTCTCTCTTTTTATCTTTCATATAAGTGGACTCACTACAAAGTAGAAGACGTCAACAGCAAAGACTATCTGTAAGGACAATTACATTGGACTTTTCCTTCTTTCTAATTGGACTTTATTTTATTTAAAAATAACTTTTTTATTTTTTCCAATTTTATCTGTGTGCGCAGCCTTTTTTCTTCTTTTTCTTATTTTATCCAAATTAAAGGGTTTGAGGGATCCCCTTTATAAGGTTGCTGCCTATAAGTTATCTAGCGCTGTCTTTCTCTTTTTCCTAGTCATCCAACCAAACCATTTTTCCCAGGGATCAGTAACTCCAGAGTTTCTCTTTAACTCTTCTGAGAGTCTATTTAATTTAGCTATGGCCAGAGTGACTTTACCATTAGGACCTGTGTTTTCTGGAATGTAAGTGCAACAAGTCATAGTGTCGGGTAGTATTTTACAGACCCCCCCTTTTTCGGCTAAGATCATGTCTAAGGCCAGTCTGTTCTGGAAGGTCATTTGGGATGTGGCCTGTAATTGCTCGGCCAAGCCCTGGAGGGCATCCCTGGTGTAGTTCACGAAGCGCTGTTGGTTGTAATAGATATAGTTAATCCAATTAAGGTTTTTGTTGGCAGTGACTATAGTGAACAGTGATTCAAAACCTACAGCTACTTCATCTCTAGCTTTAAATTCATTAGGCACCCCCCTAGGTACCCCAATGGCATCTATGTAAATGTGGGGGTCAAAACTGCCTTTTACTGGGGTTTCGCGCCTCACTCTGGCTGGTGTATGTGGAGGGTCGTATGTGTCATGATGATTATCAGAAATAATATGAATGGGCATGATAACTTTGGCTAGGGTACACTCACCCCACCACTCAGTTTCCAGCCTAGATCTTAACTGTAGATCCCCACATAACCAGTAAATATCCCCCAATGACCTGGTATGGTGTTGCAACAGGCGTATAGGAACAGTTCTGTAAGTGGCGCAATAACCTTTAGAAAAATTACCCATGAATTTACCAATCCCGTCATACATGGCATAACAAGTGTAATTACCTCTATAGACTGTGATTCCATCTGGTGGCTTAACATTTTCAACTAAGAGAGGGTATTCTGCCGTCCATGCCATGCAGAGGGACCTATTAAAGTCATATTGGTAGGCAAAAAGGCTTAAGAAGCAATCTTCTATCTCTAAAGGGAGAGTTAGGGGGACGGTGCCAAGGTGGGGTCGGGCACCGCCACATACATAACATGCTGTTTTATTATGTTTGTTGGCATTATACCTCATCCATTCTAACCACAAATGAATGTCATTGAATCCAGTTTCAGCGGCCATGGTATCTTCAAAAGTGGGGTTAGCGATGGCCATCATATCTTTAAAGGACTGGATATGTGGTTTTAGCGGATTTGGGACCATATGATCAGCCCCTTGCCACTCTGGAGAGTGGTACATATCTCTGAGGTAGAAATGACCTAATTTGTTGTAGGAACCTTTCTTCCAATACATTCCCATTACATATCGGTCTGCATCCTCGGGGCCAGGATGTTCAATATTTAACATTAATTTCATAGGGGTACTTCCTCCAGGCTTTCTTAAAGTCATTCTTTGAAGGAGGGATCTACCCTGATTGTCTGTCTTAGATAAAGCACTTTTGGGTTTATAACCCCAGGCAGGCCCAGTATTCCATCCCGCAGCCCCCCAGTAGTTACAGTCATAACCCCATTGTTCATCTACTACACAAACGTAAGGGTCTTTTGCTTGTGGTATATCTTTATAAATGGCTTGAATCTGTGACTTAGGGAATGGGCATTCTACAATATCACAGTAATCAAAGGTGAATGTAGCCACGTGGGTACATGATGAATTATACCAGAAAGTGTACCCACTAGCATCTTTGGTGATGGCCACCTGCTGGGCTTTAAGGAGGCCAACTAAGGAGATAATGTACCAGAGGCACATGGTTGCATAGAGTTAGCTTCCTCTGGGGCAGGTGTCTTCTTGCAATGGGAAGCGTGGATCCAGTTAGGCCTTCCGGCCAATTTGACAGAGGTAGGGGAGATCAGGAGAACTTGGAACGGTCTGTCAAATCTTGGTTCCAGGGTGTGTTTTCGCACAAATTTCTTGACCAGAACCCAGTCACCGGGGAGCAGACTGTGGTTGCCTGTGTCAGAATCAGGATCTGGAATTGAAGAGAAAACTTGGGCATGGATTTTGTTCAAAGCATTGGCAAGTTCAGTTACATAGTTTACTAAAACATCAGTATGAAGTTGTAATTGCTGGGGAAAATAGCAACCTAGCCTGGGTGCTGACCCGAATAGAATCTCGTAAGGGGACAATGAGGGCTTCCCTCTGGGTGTATGTCTGACACTAAACAGGGCTATTGGCAAGCTTTCGGGCCAGGGCATTTTTGTTTCTTGCGACATTTTTAGCATTCTAGTTTTCAGGGTGCCATTCATACGCTCCACCTTACCACTGCTTTGTGGGTGATAAGGTGTGTGGAAGGCAAGGGTCACTCCTAGGGTGGCCCAAATCTCTTTGGTTACTGATGCTGTGAAAGCTGGGCCTTGGTCACTTTCAATGACTTCTGGTAATCCAAACCTACATACAATTTCTGTAAGTAGCCGTCTTGCTGTTGTTTTTGCGGTGATGTTAACCACTGGGTAGGCTTCTGGCCAGCCTGAGAACATGTCCACTATTACTAGTGCATATTCGAAGTTGCCACTCTTTGGCATCTGGATGTGGTCTATCTGAATTCTTTGAAACGGGTACATGGGCTTGGCCAAGTGTTTTGGAGGGACTTTAGCCATTTTCCCCGGATTGCACTTGGCGCAGATGACACACGTCTTGCAGTAATTGCTGGCTAGCGTGGTAATTCCAGGGGCCTCATAGTACTTCTGTACAAGGGCGATCATCAAATCTTTTGATAAGTGTGCAGGGCCATGTGCCCACTGAACAACTGCTGGGTATAGATTCTTAGGAAGGCAGAATCTGAGATTGTTGTAATACACTCCATCTCTTAGAACTGCCCCTTTCTGTTTCCACTTCTGTATTTCTTCAGGGGCAACTGTAGCCTGTTGTTCCCGCAGGATTTTCAGGTCAGTTGGAAGAGTCTGCAGAGTAAATATGGGAGTTTCTTCATTTCCGGACACTCTTCTTTCCACTTCCTGTGGTTCTTTTGCAGCTTGTTTTGCAGCCTGATCAGCTAGATGGTTGCCCTTTGCTTCATCTGAGTCCAACTTCCCATGTGCTTTTATCTTCAAAATAGCCACTTCTTCTGGGAGTAGGAGGGCGTCCATCAGCTCCTTGATTGCGGAACCGTGCTTGATTGGTGTACCGGCGGTGGTAAGAAATCCTCTTGTTTTCCAAATTAATCCGAAGTCGTGAGCCACGCCCAGTGCATATCTTGAATCTGTGTAGATATTGGCGCGCTTTTCTTCAGATATCTTGCATGCTGAAGTTAGGGCTTGTAATTCAGCTTCCTGCGCAGACATTGTTGATGGTAGAGATGATGATTTGACAATTTCGTCTGTTGTGGTTACGGCATATCCTGTATGGTATCTTCCTTCTTCATCAGCATATCTTGAGCCGTCCACAAACAGGGTGAGATCGGGATCTACCAATGGGTCTTCATGCACAGTTGGTAGATGTGTTGTTTCCATTTTCATCTGTTCAAAACAGTCATGAGGTGTATTTGGGTCGTAATCATTCACTATGGTTAAATCTTGGAACTCATTTTCCAGGAAATGACGTGGCCATGCTTTTAGGTGGTCAGTTGTTGGATATTTGATAACACCATTTTCCTGTAGCTGTGATTCATCCATAGAGGCCCATGCTTTTGCCATAGGCCCAAGATCATTCCATGATATTGTTTTCAACTTGGTCACAGGGACATGTGGAATGGCAGTGTCCCAATAACGGTACAAATACTTGAGTTCCGGAGGTAGATGAATCAAGACCATACTGTTGCCTTCAGAATCACAGTAGAAGTCTTGTGCAGAGAGTTTTACTTCGACCAGATGATAGAGTTCATCTTCATAGCAGGGTTCAGGAGTGATGTTTGGTTTGTACCACATGGTACAGAAGGCATATCCTGCTCCGTCATGAAGGAGTGCTTGTCCATCATGAAAGGATAGGTTGGGATGCATTTCCTTCTTGATGGTGCCAGTGAGAAGAAAAACATAAGTTTCGTCCATGATGAATCCGTAGTATACACCCCCCTCAGGGAGTGGCAGAAGAGTGGACGGATTGAGAACTTGACATCTTTGAAGGGTAATGTTGTCAGGCAACAAAAGATGACATTGAAGGCGAAGATGCCTAGCAGGAGTAACATGCTTAAGTTGGACCTGGTTGACTATGGCAGAAATGTCATGAGGGGCCAAGACAACCAGGGGGTGGCCAAGGACAAGATCTTCAGTTCTTTCAATGAGCTCTTTGGCAGCAAAGACGGCCCGAAGGCAAGTGGGACGTCCTCTGGCCACAATATCCAGTTGGCAGGAGAAAAATCCAATAGGCCTTTGGCGGCCTCCAGGACCATGGGCCTGAGTGAGTACTCCTGTTGCATGGCCTTGTCTTTCAGAAACAAACAATTTGAAGGGTTTGGTATAGTCTGGTAGGCCAAGAGCAGGAGCAGAAGCAATAGCACGTTTGAGAGAACAGAAGTTGTCAAGGGCTTCTGTGGACAAGCAAAATGGGTCTGACTTGAGAGCATCATAGAGAGGTTGCATAAGGAGTGAGGCTTCTGGGATCCATGCTCGGCAATAGGAAATGAGGCCTAGGAAGGCGTGTAGTGACTTTGAGGTCCTTGGAGGTGGAATGTCCAGTACTGCTCTAACTCGGTCACGGGTGAGATGTCTGGTTCCCTGAGACAGACAATGGCCAAGGAAGATAACAGTAGGGTGGCAGAATTGCAGCTTGAGACGTGAAGCTTTACATCCTTGTTCTGCTAGATAGCAAAGAAGATTAAGTGAGCATTGTTCTGTTGTGGGTAGATCATCTCCACAGTAAAATGGGAAGGGAACAAAGAACTGTAGTGTCTTTTCGTGACAAAGGTGTATTTAATTGAACCTGGCCTTCTGCAGTGAGGGTGATGGATGCTTGGAGGCGGGATAGGACATCAGCACCAACACAAGAGACATCGGTGTCAGGCAGGAATGATGAGTCAGGCAGGTCTTGTTCTCTAAGAACACTGCGGGCTGCTCCTGTGTCAACCAGGAAAGTAGTAGGGTGACCTTCAATAGGTAAAGTTACAGTGGCTAGTGGCCCCCCTTGTTCCCTGTAGACACTGCCATGGCAGGGGCATTAAGCATCAGTGGGTTTGCTCTCCTCTGTATGGGCTGTGTTACTGACTCAAACCCCTTTCTATGTCATTAGCCATAGCTTTTTGCAGTCTGAACATGTCTATCATTATAAATAATGGTTAATAGTAAGTGAAGTAAAGTTCCTATATGTCTTTGGATAAAACATTAACTATTGCGGCACTATCATTTATATTAATTAGGCCATAACAATTATACAACCCTGTAACTAAAATGAATAACCAGTAGTGGCTGGGTTAATAAAACATGTCACTAATCCTTCTAATGCTAAACCACCATTTAACGTAAAGGATGTTACTGTAAACATACGATCTGTAACTAGCAAGATTCGATTAAGCAAAGATACAATGTTTAAAATAACTTGCATTATTTGGCTATTTCCCTTGTTGCAAGATTAATCTGGATAATCAGCTGTTATGCTCTTATATTCGTGTCCAACAGATCTCATTTGTAGGTCACACCACAGTTGCAAATGACATTTTAGCAACCTTTTTTTTTTTTTTATCACGGACACATTTCTGATACAGGGAAACAAATGGCATGATTGTTTTAGTAAATATAATGTTTCTGTTCATAATATGTAGAGTGTAAGGAAAACAACATGTCTCTAAATAGGACGAGCATGATAGGGGTAGGCCTCATGATGGAGGCAGCCATGACAGGGGCGGGGAAGGAAATGACAGCAAGGGAGGAAGTGAGGTGACGTCCATGATAGGTGTGGGAAAGGAAGACAGGAGGTGTGGGCATGGTAAGGGCGGAAGTGACGTTACTTTAGAAGCAACCGTGACTGTAGATAGGTCACGGGACTGGCAGGGTCAACCTCCTTCTGTACTAGGCGCCATCTTTAGGGTGGTGGCTGACACACTTTCGACAATACACTATATTATAACTAATAAAATAAGTCAGAGAAGCAACATTCCGTTCTGCAAAATGAAATACTAAACTATGAACAGACCTGGCAGGTTAAATAAGACAGTTGAAAACATTATGCATTTAACAGCCCATACAGCTGTCTCTAGAAACATGTTCTTTAAAATGATGCAAGATAAACTCACGGAATTCAACCAATTTCCCTTATCATCCTTCACATACTAGCTTAACAACTTCGCATATTCCCTCTATCCACATTGCATAGTTTTGCAACAAATCACGCTTGCCTTTACACTTAACACGTCCAAATATTCCTCTATTCTTGTATCAGATTCACTTACTTAACCTCCGTAAATCAACACTGAGCTACATCCCTGACTCCCTGTCTTATACACCAGTCTAGGAGAGAATACTCAGAAAGGTGGAATGCATTCTTGTGAGCGAGCCCCCCCACAATCTTCACTGCCTTATCACAAAACACAATTTATATATAGATATAAACGGCAAACGGCAACAATAATAATATTATTACACAATTATAACACCATAACCTTTGAATTAGAATATTTTCCAGCAAAAAATCCCGTCTCTAACTCTTATCAGTAGCTCCGAAATGCAGAAATGTAGGCAAGCGGGGAGGAGGGGGGGGAGAAAGTGAGACAGTGCAAAAAGGGAGAGAGACTGCAGGCATGAAGGTTAACCATGTGAGTGCTGTAAAGTAACAAGACAGAAGGACAGAGACTTATACGTTTGGAAACCAGAAATCTTTGACGGGAGAAACGGACTGGAGGTGCAGGGAGCTGCAGAGAGAGGATGAGGGTGACGAGATCTGTAGGACTGATGGGGGGAGAATAGGGATCCATCAGCATTCAGGACTGGGCAAACAGGGGTGGTGGTAGGGTGGGGACCAGGGGTGGGGACCATGGTCAGCTACATTTCGGTCATTGCTGACGCGATGTTGGGAGTGGTCACCTCCTGGGCGCCATCATAGGGCGCTGGCTGGGAGGACTTCCCAGTAACACAATTATTATAATACACAAACAATCTTAAACCTTTGTGATCAATTTCTTCCTCAACCTATCCCTTTTGCTGAATAGCTCTTGCTACTCGGTACCAGGCTTCTGCTGTACGAACCAAATCTTGGTCCGACAGCTTCCCTTTCTTCTCTGTCAGTAACTTACGCCAGCTCTCTGGCTACAATCTGCCGCACAGAGGTACGGTAATTCCACATACTTTAGCAATCTTCCTCACTTTCTTAACCATCTCTTCTCCTTCTCTGTCTTCCACTAGATCACATGCTAACCAACCCTTACTGGGTTTATCTAACTTCTGTCCCATCCTCCCTATACAAGGCGTCCCAGATATAGAGAGAGAAAGGAACAGAACGTCTACCGTGCTCGACTGCTACTTTAAGAGCAAGCTCTTTAAGTACGTCTTCCCAAAACGTAGACTAGTCACTGATTCCGCCTACCCGTGGTAGCCGCGGATTGGAGCGTGGCGAGAAGTGTGTGACCAATCACTTCTCTCAACAGAGAAAGAGAACTAGGAGGGGAAAGTGTAAATAGTACAGTGAGTAAGATAGAAGTAAACACAGGAATCTGTGTGACAGACAATTAAGACAACATTTCAAATAAAATACAGTGCATGCATCACAGTTCAAATAAGTTCAACAGTTTTATCCCTTGCCTTTACTCGTGTGGCCAAAAGCCACCTCCCTCAACCTCGTAGTGTCCCCACACGGAGAATGACTTCCACAAGTCTCACTACCAGCAGCCACAGGAAACAGCAACAGCTTCCAACCCGAATCCTGTATAGCCTAAAGAATTGGAATCTTACCTGCCTCAGCGCTCGAGGCTGGAATTTTACCAAGAAGAAGTGTCCGATGAGGCTAGCTAAGCGGTCAAAGCGACACTATGGGGAACCCCCAGGAAGCAGTGAGTCTACACCCCTCCACAGATTCCCCCTACTCTTTTTCCTTACAGCCACAGCTACGTGGCTCCTAAAAGAGTTAAACAGGCACTTACACTCCCCGGGTACTAAGTTAAACACAAACCAATACAAACACACCCAGGCAACAGATAGTCAACATGCAGGTAAACTAGGTATCATTAACAATACAAAGACTCTGGGCAGGTTATTACCTGACTTTGATGTCCTCTCGGCAGCAGTCACAGACACTGGGATAGGTCAATCACAGGGGCAGGAACATACCGGCTAGGTGCTGCAGCAATCTCTACCGTGTAGTCAGAGGTGATCAGGCTCTTTTCCTTCCCCCAAGATTCACCCCCCCAGCATCTTCTTGGACAGCTGCCCAGGCAGGACATAGCCCAGAGCCCCACGTTATGGCGCCAGCTGTTGTAGATAATTTACTGCAAACCAATTAGTTTGAATGACTATCTGTTCCTGTCCAAATTAAAGATAATAAAGTTGCGTGCACGCAGAAGTAAATTCACACTGAGACACAGAGTTCAGGTTAATGAAAGAACTTCGGAGAAGTTTAATGGCTTCTGACAGAAAATGGGTGCGCAGACCCTTTTAAAGGCATTATTACATCATTGAAGAAAATCAAGATATAGACAAATAGACATTGTTAATTGGCTTAGGTGCTAACATGTTAGTAAAATGCCCTCCCTATGGGGTGTACCATCTTAAGTCACTATCCTCGTCATGATCATCTCCTCCAGGTTTTAGCGCCATTTTGCTAACATGAGGAGCTCACTCGACGGGAGGGGCCTTTTGGCAGCTATCCATTTAGAGTGTAGCTGGCACTGTTAGTTTCTCAAGGTTAGGTTTCAAGGCTTTTAGTAAATACACATTTTATCAAAACTATTTCTTGCTGACATGCAAATTCTATGTTCTATAGACAAAGCTTTCTTGTAAAACTATGGGGGCCTCTTAGAGGTATAGCAAGAGGATTTAAAGGGGCCTTACAGATTTATAGACGCCTAATAATTCTACAACAACTATAGTGTTCCTTTAAGGAAAGTAATTAAAAATAAATTATTTTAGTTGTTCTGATTTTCAGAATATATAATGTGTCTGGGATTTTAAGTTTTTTTTTGGTAGTTACAGGTCACAAAGCACAAGGAGTAAAATAAACTTTTAATGTGGAGCGATTTTAGAACTTGGTATGTTTGTCTTGTAAGCTTAAAGGACCACTATAGGCACCCAGACCACTTCAGCTTAAAGGACCACTATAGGCTCCCAGACCACTTCAGCTTAATGAAGTGGTCTGGGTGCCAGGTCCAGCTAGGGTTAACCCATTTTTTTTTTATAAACATAGCTGTTTCGGAGAAACTGCTATGTTTATGAATGGGTTAAGCCTTCCCCCAAAGCCTCTAGCGGCTGTCTCATTGACAGCCGCTAGAGGCGCTTGCGTGATTTCCTATGCGACCGGCTGAATGCGCGCGTAGCTCTTGCCGCACGTGTGCATTTAGCCGAATGGGCGGAGAGGAGGAGGATCGGAAGAGGAGAGCTCCCCGCCCAGCGCTGGAAAAAGGTAAGTTTTTACCCCTTTTCAGAGCCTGGCGGGAGGGGGTCCCTGACGGTGGGGGCACCCTCAGGGCACTATAGTGCCAGGAAAAAGAGTATGTTTTCCTGGCACTATAGTGGTCCTTTAATGAAGTGGTCTGGGTGCCAGGTCCAGCTGGCTATGTTTATAAATGGGTTAATCCAGCCACTAGTGGCTATCTCATTGACAGCTGCTAGAGGTGCTTCCGCGCTTCTCACTGTGATTTTCACAGTGAGAAGACGCCAACGTCCATAGGAAAGCATTGAGAATGCTTTCCTATGGATTGGCTGAATGCGCACGCGGCTCCTGCCGCGCATGCGCATTCAGCCGATGACGTCGCTATGGAGGAGGAGAGTTCCCCGCCTGGTGCTGGAGAAAGAGGTAAGTTTAACCCCTTCCTCCCCCTAGAGCCCGGCGGGCGGGGACCCTGAGGGTGGGGGCACCCTCAGGGCACTATAGTGCCAGGAAAACAAGAGTTTTCCTGGCACTACAGTGGTCCTTTAATAGCTATAAAAGAAAACAAAATTGCCACACAAAAGTATATATTTATATAAAGTAGACATCACAGGCTATTTACCTAAGGTTGTTTTGACACTTTCTACGCAGCCATTTTACCGCCAACCTCTGCTAAATATTGGAGTAAAATTGTGTTTTTTTGGGGCTTTTGGCACACAAACTTATAACAAAGAAATTCTCATGTGTATTTTGTAAAGTTGGTGTGTGCTATTCCTGTACAAAGTTTTATTTTGTGTTCAGTTACATCTGCTGAGTAAAATGACACCCCCATTGTATGTCTTTGGCACTATTTTGTGAAGTTACAGTGCCATATAGGATGCCTGTTCTTTTCAGTATTTACAGTAGAATTTTGAGAGACATTTTTAATGAGCCTATGCTTCCATTTGGGGTATTATAAAACAGTTTGACTTTTCAAAAAAGCCCACAGAGGCCTACCATTTGTAAAAGTAGACACTCCAGGGTATCTCATAAGGTGCATATTGTGCCTTAACATGCCCACATTTTTTCACCAATATATGCCAAAGTATGTGGTAAAAAATAATTTTGTGCATTTTGTACTCATGGATTGCATTTCTGCTGGGCATTTTGTATATTTCACATGTGCCACTAAGTTCAAATCCCCCAAAATATGCTCAGCTAAGTCTTCTGAGTAAAATGACACCCCCATTGTATGTCTTTGGCACTATTTTGTGAAGCTACAGTGCCATATAGGAGACCAAGCCATATCAGTTTTTACCGAACTTTAAGTTTTGACGCTGGGCCTATGTGCAATTTCCAAGCATCTTAGCAAGGTTTAAATTCAAACTACCCCACAAAGGCCTACCATTTATTAAAGTAGACACCCCAAGGTATTTCAAAAGGTATATTTTGAACATTAGCGTGCGATATCATTTTGTATCCCGATTCTTGGTATCTGGTGCTTATGGAGGTTTTATGTGTCATCGTGAATGCTGTGGTCCATTGGTCTTGGGTCAGCAGATGCCCAAGGTCTCTTTCCCAGTATCTGGTGAAGTAGGGAAGTTGGGTGATTCCCTGTGGTGAGTTTAGTAGTTGGTACAGGAGTGATATGGCGTGCAGCGTGGGGGCGTCTTGCGTACAGATGGCCTCAAACATGGTCAGGGGTCTAGAAGCCGAGGGTAGGTTGGGTTGAAACTTTTTTTACTTTTAAAAAATAGTTTTTAAACTTTTGTTTTGCTTTTTCATTTTTTTTAAACTTTCTTAAAACTTTTTTTACAGATTCATCATTTTTCTAAGCTTTTTTTTTTTTTTTACTGATAACCCTTAACTAGCAGTAAGCAGCACTAACAGTAAATTACCAATTTTCCCATAACTCCCACCCACCCCAGCTAGCAAAATATATAATTATAAAATATTTTAATTAATTAATTAAATAAATTAAACCCCTCAGGGTTAAAAAAATAAATAAAAGTTAATCCTCAGGGTTAAAATTTTTTAGATCACACTATAATACTGTGATCTGCATTTTGATCACTGTAGGCAGTGATCGACTGGCAGGGATGGGGTTAATTTTTATTTGGACTAGGTAAAGGTGGGTGTTTTTTTATTTTTTACTTAAACATTATTAAAAAAAATTTTTAGCTTAATTTTTAACTTTTTAAAGTTTATTTTAAAACTTTTTTTAACGTTAACCCCTAGTTAGCCTAACACCAAATCCCCCAATTCCCCACTAACTTCCACCCACCCCAGCTAGCTAAATATATAATTTTAAAATATTTAAATTGATTAAATAAATTTAACCGCCGAGGGTTAAAAAAAAAAAAAAAGAACTAAACCTCAGGGGTTAAAAAAAATAAAATCAGATGACAGTGAAATGTAATCCTTGCCAATTGATCACTGTAGTCAGTGATCAATTGGCAGGGAAGTTGTTAATTTTTAATTAAAATGGGTAAAGGGGGGTGGGATTTTAAATAAACGTTATTTATTTTTTTAACAGGGGGCAGGATCATCACTGTTCTGGCTCCCTGCACTTCACACAGAACCAGGAAGTGCAGGGAGGCGGAAGGTAAGTATACTAAGCACATGTGCTTGCTCTGACATGCTGTCAGAGAGAGCACATGTGCTGGGCCAGCACTATCGGGTGCTCCCGGTCTGCCTCTAATACAGAGGCAGACCGAAGCACCATTAACTCCGCGATCCGGGGTTAATTTTAACGGGTGACGGACAAGGTCCGTCACTCGTCGTTATGGCAATCCCCTGAGTGACGGACCTTGTCCGCCACTTGTCGTTAAGAAAATCCCTCTCTACATATCTCAAAACAGAATGCACCTGTCATGGTTGAATATATATTTCTTACCTATTCTATGTTACATTTTTGTAAATATTGTGTATTTGACACAGATACACAGAATAAATAGACAGTAAATAGACATTTTATCCATTCAAGTATTTTGTCCTTAACAGTAGCAATGCAATGTTTTTTGAATCCAGGACATAATTGAAAACGAAATCTCAATGTGTCCTTCCTGGTAAAATATTTTATAAATAAAGACTGTCCCACTTATATATAGATATGAATTCCCTTTAAATGGTAACACTCCTGGAAACCCATTGTAATGTCCCATCGTGCATTCTTAGCCTCGGCACAACTGTTATTTGGCATTCGATGACAGAGAATAGAGTAGCTATACACTCTGTTCACATGCCTTTTCTAAGATGGCGGACCTGACTTCAATACTACTCACAGCGCCCAGTTCCGCCCACACAATCTCGTTTCCTTAGTACCAGTTTTGGCCGCGGTTAACGGCTCTTGACGCAGAAGCGGAGTATGCTGTGGTGATTTGTACATAGTAAGAGTAGTAAATACGCAGTAGTTACTTGCTTGCCATCCATTGCCAACCGCAACATGGAGAGATTCAGAGTACACCTGTGGGCGAAGACCGACCCGTTTCTGGTGGGAGCCCTGCAGCATCCTCCCCCGGCTAAGTTCAGCATGCACTATCTGCGAAAGATGGCTACTTATGTCCGTACCCGCTTGGGGGAAGGATGCTATCCTAGGCTTTGCTGGAGCATGTGGCGACATATTGCTTGCGGCAAGCTGCAGCTGGTGGAGGACACGGCCTGGCTGTACTTCGAAGGCTTTCACAGCCTGTCCGAGAGAAGTGCCCCCAGAAGCCTGGAGTGGGCTGAAGTGGTCTCCAGCTGCACCTCGGTGGATGAGTATGAAAGAGCGAGGAGTAAGGTGCGAGATTTGGGGCATGCTATGTGTGTGTTGGCAGGAGATAAATCCTCAATTAGTTTATCTTACATCCCAGCTTGTAAGTGGGCACAATTTCTAGGAGAATGGATGGGTGTGTTATGTGACTGGAGATTTATATGAATAATATGTAATGGAATGTGTGTCCTGTAGGAAGGTAATTTTCTACTTGGTTAAATTGTTATGATTGATATTTTAATATAGTAACTTCTTAGTTGGTAAATACACTAACGCTTTGTGATAGCAAAAACTGCTTTAAAGTGTACTGTAGTGGTTATGGTTCTAGGAGTACCATGTTGACCAGTGTAAGTAGTCAAACCATTTTAGAATCGAACAAACACTGAAAGTCAATTATTGGTTGTGCAATCTTTTAAAGGTATTTAATACCCATCAAAAATAAGCTGTTATGTTGCCCAGAGGTCCCTGGCACTTTCTTACCTGAAAGTTGCTATTCAGCATTGCATCTGGTTACTGCAGTGCAGTATTAGGAAGTGCGGAGTGCCATCAGGCAGGGGCGCCACTGGTTAATCTAGCAGCTCAGATGAAGGATAGGTTCCTAAGACTCTTGTTGAATGGAAGGACAGTGCCAGGACTGCATACACTATAACCACTTTAATAAAATGAAGGAATTGTGGTGCCTACGGTGTCCCTTTAACAGAGCAGAAGATAAGACTTTCTAAATGTCTATGTACCAAAACCACATCATTAATCTAATGTTCAGGCGCTTAGAATGAACCTTTAGGCCGAATTAAGCAAATGTTTGCATCTATTTGGCTCTTTTACTGTTATTCAATGTATTGCAGTATTATAATCAAAATGGCACTTGTTTTATATTTACGTTCTTTTTCACTGATCTCTTTATTGAACTTTATTATATGTGTTAACCTCATGTTTACATATCTGCATAAATTCCAAAGGCAATATGGGAGTGAAATATTAGTAGGTTTAATGACCTTGATAACATAATTAAAAATAAATAGCTTAGGAAGAAATAAGGAGATCTTAATTTACATGTTTTGATGGATGTTTTTGACCGTCCTATTTTATCTGATTCTTTAACATTCTGTTTGATATTATATGAAGGTGACGCTAAAGTTTAAAGGGACACTATAGTCACCTGAACAACTTAAGCTTAATGAGGTTGTTCAGGTGAGAACTATAGCTCCCTGCAGCCTTTCTCATGTAAACACTGTATTTTCTGAGAAAATACAGTGTTTACATTGAAAGCTAGGAACACCTCCAGTTGCAGTCACTCAGAATGCCACCAGAGGGACTTCCCAGTTGATTGAGGCATAAAACTCCTCAATCCACTCAGATTTGCTGTCAGCAGAGCACAGGGCAGCACTGTGTCTCCTCCTTCTGCATGCAGACACTGAACGTTCCTTATAGAGATTCATTGATTTATGTCATCTCTATGAGGAGATACTGATTGGCCAGGGCTGTGTTTGAATCATGCTGGCTCTGTCCCTGATCTGCCTCTTTGTTAGTCTCAGGCAATCCTATGGGGAAGCACTGTGATTGGATCAGGCTACCACTTCTGATGATGTCAGCAGACTTTTTTTTTTTTTTTTTTAGTTAAACAGCATGCAGAGTTACAGCTTCTGGCTCGAATACAGTAAGATTTTTTACGACTTTTTTTTTATAAATTCTTTATTTTTGAGTCTTCAAAAGAAGAATTTTTTTTTTGTAACGTTATGGGGTACAGAAAGGAAAAAGGGGTGCAACATGTTACAATTATATTGGTTACATTTGTACTCATTAATATATCCCTGTTTACATTCACTGTTTCAGTTGTCCAACATGTAACTCCCGTTGCCCTGGGTCTGGAAGGGTCGGGTGGGTAAGATGGATGGGGGTGTCCCCTCTGTTTGGCGTAACCACCGTTTACCCTGAGTTTAGGTAATGGGCCCTAGGCAAAAGGTTTTGGTGATGCTTTGTGAGGCTCAAACCTGGCCTTCGCCTAGTTCATGGGCCTTGTGAGGTGTCGTTGTTGTACTCTGTCTGTTGCGTTGTGCTGTCTCCGTCCTCTGGGGGTAAGGTGGTGCCTCTGGGGTCGGGGGTTTAGGGGTTTAGAACTTGGAGAGTGTCCTTGTGTCGTAATGTCATTTTGTTGTGTGTGGTTGAGCTTGTGGAGTTCACCTGAGTTAGGTCAGGTGGTTGTTTGTAGTCGTAATGTTTGCAAGTTTATGTAATTGTTTTCTGTTGATTGTGGTGTTTTGATGTGTGGTGTGGGTGGGTATGGGGCAGGGGTGGAATGTGGCAAAGAGGGGGGGCAGTTCTCTCTCCCCCTCTTCCCCCGCTCGCGGTGTCTTACAATGCCAACCAGGGGTCCCAGATCTTATGGAAAGATCTAGTGTTCTCGTGTATTAGTGCGGGCAATTCGTCCATCTCCATGGCCTCTTTAATCTTTCTCTGGGCCTCCGAGGCCGTTGGGATTTCTGGGCTGCCCCAGTGGGTAGCTATAGTTCTACGTGTTGTTGCTAAGGCCACCTTTGCTACTAGTTTGTTTTGTGCTCGGGTCAGATTTTCTAGGGGCCTGGACAGCAGCCAGGTCCATGGGTCTAGGGGGATGTCCGTTTGTAATGCTCTTGAGGTGGCAGCGGCCATCTCTTTCCATATTTGAGTTAAGTGTTGACATTGCCACCACACGTGAATGTATGTTCCCTTTTCGCCACATCCCTTCCAGCATCTGTCCGAGTCTGTGCCTTTCATTTGTTTGAGTCTCAGGGGGGTAAGGTACTACCGAAGCAGAGTCTTATACGCCTGCTCTCTGTGGTTAACACAGATTGTCGCTGTTGCTTCCCATATGTCAGCCCAGTCCGAGGGGTCCCCCGGGGGACCAAGATCCCTTTCCCAGGCCTTTATGTAGGAGAAGGCGTCAGGTGGGGCTTTAAGCGTTATGAGGTTGTATAGGTTGGAGATTTGGCCCTTGTGTATTGGGTTGTTCAGGCAGCCCCTTTCGAATGCAGTGGGTTTCAACACCGCCGCAGCGGCTATGTTAGGGGTTGACAAGAAGCTTCGGAGTTGGAGGTATCGAAAGTGGTCGAACGTGTTATACGGTGTGTCGTTTGGCAGTTCTGGGAAGGGAATAAGGTGGTTGTTCCTGTAAAAATGACAGATTCTCGTGAGGTCATTGTCCTCATACCTGGTGAAATGTTGGGGCGTCATTCCCGGGGTGAATTGAGGGTTTTTCAGAACGGGCATAAGGGGTGAGAGTGTATTTATGAGGTTGTATTTGTCGGTCACCCTGTTCCAAATGTGGATGGCTGTCGTGAGGGCTGGTGTCGTGTTGGGCTGTTGTGGTCTGTGTGTTTTCGGTATCCATAGGTAGAGAGTTGGCAGGTCCCGTCCGAATAGGTCGTGTTCCAGGTCCACCCAGCGCTTGACCCCTGGGGGGCATGCATGGTTTGGGTTTGTGCAAGTTGGGATGCTTGGTGATAGTCCCAGAAATTTGGCAGGCCTAGTCCCCCTTTTTTGTGTGGAATATACAGGGTAATTCGTTTTATTCTAGCTCTTTTCCCTGCCCAAATAAATTTATCAATGTGCATTTGGAGATTTTTGAAGTCTGCTTGTGAGAGTGGGATGGGGAGGGCCTGGAAGAGATAGAGAAAACGTGGCAGTAAGTTCATTTTAATCGCTGCCAGCCTCCCAAGCCAAGAGATGGATAATTTTTGCCAGGTTTGCAGGTCTCTCAGGGCCTGGTCGATTAATGGGGGATAGTTTAGTCTGTATGTAGGATGTAGGTCTGCCGGTATATCTATTCCTAGATAATGAATACTTTGCGTTTGGAAGCGGAATGGGTAGTTTTGTTGCAGTAGTGTTCGTGTGTGAGATGGGGTCTGGATTGTCAGGGCTTCAGTTTTCTCTATGTTGAGTTTATATCCTGAGATTTTTGCGTATGCCTCTAGTAAGTCTAACAGTGGGGGTAGGGATGTCTCTGGGTCGGTCAGGGTTAGAAGCAAGTCGTCCGCATATGCTGCCACTTTGTATTCCTCCCTTGTATGGCCGGTGTATTGCGGATCTGTTGTAAGAGGGGTTCGAGGGAGAGGGCAGAGAGGAGGGGGGACAGGGGGCACCCCTGCCGGGTGCCGTTTTGTATGTGGAACGGGGTTTGGCGAGCATTTGGTATGAGTAGTTGTGCTGTCGGGTTGGTGTAGAGGGTGCAAATTGCTTGTAGGAGGGCCCTGGGGAAGCCGAACCTCGTCAGGACCGCAAATAAGTATGGCCAGAGGATCCTGTCAAATGCCTTTTCGGCGTCTAGGGATAGTAGTAGCATTGGGATCCGTCTGTGGTTGGCTGTCCAAATTAGGTCATAGGTGCGTCTTGTGTTGTCATAGGCTTGTCTATTGGGTATGAAGCCCACTTGGTCTGGGTGGATCAGTTTCGGGAGAAAATGTTTAAGTCTGTTCGCAATGAGTTTGGTAAATAATTTAACGTCTACATTTAGGAGTGAGATGGGGCGGTAGTGTCCCGGTTCTTGTAGGGATTTATTCGGTTTTGGTATTAGGCTAATATTAGCTTGGAGCAGTTCCGCTGGGAGCGGTTCTCCTTTGAGGATTGATGTGAATAGCTCGCTAAGATGTGGGAGTAAGGTTGCGCAGTATGTTTTGTAGTATAGTCCCGAGTAGCCGTCGGGGCCCGGGCATTTGTTAGGTTGTAGAGCCTTAATCGTCTCTGCCACCTCCTCAATTGTAACTTCTGCTGCTAGTGACCCTCGTGCTTCATCAGTGAGTTGCGGTAGAGGTATGCTTTGTAAGTATCGTGCTATGGCTTCCTCTGTGTCTTTTGCGTTGTGTCGAGATTGGGGATCATGGTCATAAAGGGAGGTGTAAAATTGAGTAAAGGTTTCTGCTATCTGTTCAGGGAGGTTTTGTGTTTGGCCGTCCGGTGTGTTAATCGAGGTTATTCGGTTCCGTTGTCTTTTCTTTTTAAGTCTGTTGGCTAGGAGTGAGTCTGCTTTGTTAGATTTCTCATAAAACATCTGCCTTGTCCAGAGCAGTGCTTTTTTCGAGTCTTGGGCCATGAACTCCTGGATCGCTTGTTTGTGCACCTGTATCTGTTGTTGTAAGATGGGGGTGGGGTTTTGTTTGTGCGCGTGTTCCGCCTTGCAGAGTGCGGTGAGGTGTTGGTGTAGTCTGGATAGTTTCTCCTTTTTGTGGGCCGAGGCCGCTGAGATGAGGCTGCCTCTAATGACTGCTTTGTGTGCCGCCCATAATGTGCCTGCTGAGGGTACCGAGCCTGTATTATTTGTAAAGAAGTCTTTTATGGCTTCGTTGATTGTGTTTTTGATGTGTGGGATGTGGAGTAGTGTAGGGTTTAGACGCCAAGCCCATTGTCTGGTCGTGTTTGGGAGCTGTATAGTTATGGTAATGTCCGCGTGGTCTGACCACGTGATTTGTCCGATCTCTGTCCTATCTGTGTATTGCATTAGGGATGGGGAGGTCAGGAACATGTCTATACGTGAGTAGGACTTGTGTGGGTGGGAAAAGAACGTGTAGTCCATTGTTTGTGGGTGTTGTGTTCTCCACATGTCCACTAGATTTGTGCTTGTTAAGAAAGAATTGAGTAGTTTGTCTGTTTTTGCATCTGGTGGGGGCGACAGTCCCCGGCTTTGAGTTCTACGTCTGTCATTGGACGGTGACGGCACCGCATTAAAGTCGCCCCCCACCACCTTGTGATGGGCGGGGAATAATGCCAGGTGGGCTTGTAGGGCCGTCCACAAGTGTGCGCGTGGTACCGTTGGGGCATATACCAATGTGATTGCATATTTATTCGGGCCTAGGTGGCCCGTTACAGTGAGGAACCTCCTTTGGGGGTCTGAGGCTGCGTTGGAGAATTGTATGGGGCAGGTTTTGCGGATGAGAATGGCTACCCCGTTATGCTTTCCTTGGGGTGAGTTTGCCTGGTGGCTCTCTGTGTAGTGTCTGTTACGTAGTGGGAAGGGCCTGCTTTGCTCAAAGTGCGTCTCCTGCAGGAGGAGGACGTCTGCCTTAGTTCTGGTGGCCCATCTGAGGACTCGATACCGTTTGTTCGGGCTGTTCAGGCCTTTGCAATTGATCGAGACACAGGTTAGTGTGGCAGTTGGCATTGTATCGCTGTAGCTTTTGCTCTCGGCGTGCGGGGTCGGGGGGGGTCGGGGAGGGGTACTGAAAGGGCTTGGTCTTACGATGTGCGTGCCAAGCCTGGTGGGCGGGGGGGTAATGTGGGGTTTGAGGATATGGTTCAATTCACCCTTGTGGGGGTGAGTATCGTGTGATGTGTGTGAGGGGTGAGAAGAGAAGAGGAGGGATGGTCACGTCCACTTCTCTCCCCTCCCGTGATGTGTTATCTTGTGTACCTGGAGTGTTGTCCGATGTACCTTGGCTCTCTGTCGAGGGCTTATGGAGTTTCCGTCTGGGCGAGTTCATAACTATATACAAACAAGAAAAGGAGAAAATTTAATACCCAACAAGTTTAGGCTATTTGGAGCGATGTGCAGAGTGTCTCTCAAAAGGTGGGAAGTACTCCCCTGTCTCCTCAGGTGTAGTCTAGTAATCCCCTGTCTTTTATT